AGGTTTGACATGATTGAGAATGTTCTTTATTCCAGTCATGTGTTTAGAGCACCCACTGTCAAAGTACCAGCCTTCCTTTGCAGACACTCTCAGGGAAGTATGGGCTATCAGGGCAGTAGCCTTTTTCTTCCAATGAGGAGTATGTGGTACCCTTTTTGGCTTAGGTTTAGCACCTGAGTTTTAATTAGGGTATCCATGCAATTTGAAGCAGAAGGGCTTTATGTGTCCATACCTCCCACAATGATGACATCTCCATCTTTGGTATTTTTTCTTCATGTATTTCTGTTTCTGATGTTGAGAGTTGTGTTGAGACATCTGCTTTGACAATTGTTTAACATGCCTGATCTTCTTGTCTGCACCAGATTTCTTAGCTTCCACAAATCCTAGACCAGATTTGTTTCCCACATTTTGTCCAACTTGAAGAATCTCTTCCAATTTATCTGATCCATTGGTCAGCATCTTGACAGATTTTGTCATTTGGTTCAGTTGTGAGTTCAGTAATTGAACTTCCCCTTCTAGGTGACTTATAGTTTCAAGATCTGCCCTTTTTTCAGCCTCTAGCTTTATAATGAGTTTTGATTGTTTCTCATTCTGCACACAGACTTCAGCACTTCTGATACACAATTTCTTGTAGGTATCAGCCAGTTCTTCAAATGTCACTTCTTCATCACTAGTGTCACTTTCAGAGGTACAAACACTAGTTAGAGCAGTAACTAGTTTGGCAAATTCTTCTTCAGAATTACTTTCTGAATCACAGTCAGACCAAGTAACAGTCATTCCTTTCTTTTGTTTCTTAAGAAAGGTAGGACATTCAGCTCGAATATGTCCATATCCTTCACAGCCATGGCATTGAATACCTCTGCCTTGGTTTCTCTTTTCTTCTGACCTTGGTCTTCTGCTGGAACTGTCAATGTCAGAGGGAATGTTATGAACATTAGATCTTGACTTTGGATCCATTCTTTTGATGAGCTTGTTGAACTGTCTTCCAAGCATGGCAATAGCTTCTGAAATATTTTCTTCTTCATCCTCCTTGTTTTCAACATCAGTGTTGGATACAAGTGCTATGCTCTTGTTCTTCTTGTCACCATTATCAGTGATCCCCATCTCAAAAGTCTGAAGAGACCCAATAAGTTCATCCACTTTCAACTTGCTGATGTCCTGGGCTTCCTCTATGGCAGTTACCTTCATTGCAAATCTTTTAGGCAAGGATCTGAGAATCTTCCTCACCAGTTTTTCTTCTGACATCTTTTCTCCCAGTGCTCCTGAGGTGTTGGCAATCTCCAAGATGTTCATGTGAAACTCATGAATGGTTTCATCTTCCATCATTTTTAGATTCTCAAACTTGGTAGTCAACATCTGAAGCCTTGACATTTTTACTTTGGAAGTGCCCTCATGAGTAGTTTTGAGAGTGTCCCAAACTTCCTTGGCCAGTTCATATTGATGAACAAGTCTGAAAATGTTTCTATCAATTCCATTGAACAAGGCATTTAAAGCTTTGGAATTTCCCAGGGCTAACTCATCTTCTTCTTTACTCCAATCTTCCTCAGGCTTCAGACTGATTGTCCCATCTTTCTCAGTTATGGTGGGATGGATCCATCCTTTGTCAGCAGCTCTCCAAGCCTTTTTGTCCAGAGATTTTAAGAAGGCAATCATACGAGGTTTCCAGTAGTCATAATTAGTTCCATCCAGAATGGGTGGTCTATTTCCAAAAACTCCTTCTTTGTCCATAGTGCCAGAAAGTGATATCCCTAGATCTCACCCAGTAATACAGGCAAGGTGCCTGCTCTGATGCCAATTGAAATTCTGGCTGCAGATACTCAATGTCACGTTTAATGTTATGACACCGTAACTGACTTTCTATAAGACAGTAAATACAAAAACAGTAAAGAACACAGTCAATTGTTTACCCAGTTCAGTGTGCAACAACACCTACTCTGGGGGCTACCAAGCCAGGGAGAAAATCCACTATAAGAGATGTTAATTCAGGAATAAACCAACCAGTTTATCTCCTTCACTTAAGACCTACCCAATGCAATTTCAATCTAAGTACAACTTAAAACTGAGTTCCTACTCACTCCCCCTCAATCACAGCAGTGATACATAAAACAATTTGACTAATGAATTGATGAAGACACTCTTCAAAAACATACACTTGATTAAGCTTCACAACTTTTTAATCAAGCAACACAACCACTCTTGCTTCACAGCTTTGAGTGATACACACACCTAACTTGACTCTGCTTCACAGTTTTAGTCAAGAAACATTCAAACACTCTTGCTTCAAAGCTTTGAGTGCTACACAACCCTTACAATTAAAAACCTATTCCAAGTCACTTATCACAATGATAATTGCTTGAAGTACAATAATTAAACCTATACAGTTTACAAATGATCTTCTGACCAAAAAAGGGATTGCTTCCAAAACAGCATCTCTGTTGAATATATAGCAGCTGCATCTTCAGTTAGGGTTTCCACAAAAAGCTAGGGTTAATTCCATTTGACCTTAAGACTAGGTCACATGACTTTATCAACCAGGTTAGGGTTGAGCTAGGTTAACCCAAAGAAAACGCAGGATTCTGTTCTGGAAAGACTGAGTCATTTTCCTGAAAAAACTCAGAATTAACCAAACTGCAAACCTGTTAGATCAGAACAGGATGTCTTAACATCTGTTATGACATCTGAAAAACCTGTCTACTGATTTAGGAAAATGTGATCATTTTGCAAAATGCTCAGATACACACTTATAAACATCAGTACCTGAATGTCAATATTTTTCTGCAAAGGTACCTAATGAATCAGTACAAACTAAACTAGAATGTTATGACATCAGTCATGACATTCACACATACATTTGGGTTTTACCAAAAATGCAAGCCAATAACTAAACAACTACAAATTAGAATATTCCCTGCTCATCACTGCCAGTTATGACAATATCATCTACAAACACAATAAGATAAATACCCCTTGAGCTGAGTGACGATAAAAGACATAATGATCAGCTTCACTACGGACCATACCAAATTGTTGTACAATAGTGCTGAATCCACTAAATCAATCTCTGGGAGATTGCTTAAGATAATAAACGACATCTTAGAATGTGTGGGTGGCTCACCAGATCTTAAACGAGACTCTGATACCATGTTAAGAAATGTGGTTGAGCCTAACTCAACCCTACAAAACTGATTTGTAGGGTGAAGATTGCCTCCACTTATAAAGACATGTTCAAACCATATATTATTCGATGTGGAACTCTTAACACACTCACGCTCAGGACTAGACAATTGGAGCATGGAAATAAATGATGGATGGACCGATAGTAGAAACCTGATAGAAGATGATTCACTGGATCTTAAACGAGACTTTGATACTTACTTAAATTAAAAGAGACTAAGAGACATTTAGTTAAACCGTATTTTTTGAAAAACACTACGGAGACTATATTATATATAGAGAGATTACAACTAATGTTATGATATAGCCGATGGGTGACTATTTTACATATGAATATTCTTAACACTATATATATATATATATATATATATATATATATATATATATATATATATATATATATATATATATATATATATATATATATATATATATATATATATATATATATATATATATATATATATATATATATATATATATATATATATATATATATATATCAACAAGGGTATTTTACGAAACAACCCCTTGTGAGAAAATGATCTTAAATGTTGCCATATCATGTACGGTAAATATACCCAAATTCAATTAGGGTAAAGTAATACAGTAAAATCTACACTAATAATACGGTTTTAGTAGAAATTGGAATGAGTGAATCAGTAAAAATTATGGCTATAGTTTACGGTTGAATCTTTATCCTATACAAACTATTGTTTGTTAATCTACCACTACTATTACAAAATCAAGCAGAAAAGCATTAACAAGGGTATAAACTTGAGACCACGCAACTCGTATGAGGAACAAGGTCCACATGATTAATCATGTTGGGACCACTAGAAACAAATAAGAGAGACAACCTTAAATACAACCTTAAATTTAGGGTTTTCTGGTCAAACATGACAATAAACCTGAAGATTGAACAACTGATAGAGAGTTTATATGATAGAGAATTATTATAAATGGATCCATAATAACATTTCGATTAAAAAAAGAAAAGAGTTCACCTTTCAACAAAAAAACTGAGACACATCAACATCTGGTAGAGCAATTTAACGGAAGGGACTAAAACCCTGATTGAATATTTTGTGAAAACCAAAGTTTGATGAAAAATTTTGTAAATTTTTTTGTAAAAACTAAAATTAAAAGGTATCATATTTATAAGAATTAAAAACATATTTTAAAAGTTAAAATATGCAATTGATGTCAAACCTAGTTGAAAATTATTATCTTCCATATTTCTTTACACCATAGAAGAAAACAAACAGAAGTAGTAGAGCATACAAAACAAAAACATAATGACAACTTCCAAAAATATTATCGGGGAGTAAATAAAGATTTTCTTTTTCATGTAAAATTTACTTGGATTTAACAAAAGTGAAAAGGAAAAAGTAGAAACTATAAACCACGTGACAATGCAGAACTGCGCTCATAATAATACTACTAGTGTCTAGTAGTAATGAGAAAAGATTCGAATTTCGAAATTGGAGCCAAGAGGTGGATTGGTCCTTATCACTATGACACTATCGAATGTCTCCATAATAAGGTGACCCCACTGTAATACTTTCATTTTTAACACATGAGTAAAGTTCATACATTAATTTAAATCTTAACAAACACACATTAAAATGACATTTTTGTCTAATAATGAACCACACAAGACACAACACAACCATGAAGCATCTCCATACTACACTACCGAAAGTAAATAACAAAGACGAAAAACATAGATTCTCTTCTCCTAATTTTATTATTTCCCCCAACCACGTAGCAGGAACAGGGTCACTAAACAATAACCCAAACTACACACATTTTGTACTAATTGTTCAGTGGCAAAAGATAACCTTAAGCTCACGAGGAGAAGAACACTGATGAGTCAAAGAAGGAGTATCATGCGCGTAGGTAAAAGTCTCGGGACACGCGTGCTTGAAGAAATTCGTATACACAGTAGGTTTACAAGTCTGAGGGTTGTTGAAATGGTTCCTACAACAAAACTCATCCGTGTGAAAAGCTTCACATCCACTCTTACACGCCACAACAGGACCATGAACCGCCGGAATACGGTGCTGCAAAACATCAGGACACGTAGCAACGAGATTTGCTTTACAACCAACCACAGGACACTGACCTTTACCTTCATGAGGTGTAACCGTCAGTGGGGTGTTGAAACCGTCGACGAGGCTGACGCTGTAAGAGGAGAAGTCGTTGTTGCCGTGATGTACGTCGAATTGGACTAGTGTGGCGGGTAATGAACCGCCTGCTCCGTTGCATTCGAGGCGGTTGGCGCAGTCGCCGGTGAGGCAGGTGAATTTGTTGTTGGTGGTGGAGCAGCCTGTTCTGGCCCAGGCGCGACCGGCCCAGTGTGTGTCGGGAACGTTGATGGAGCGGTGGGTGAAGGTGCGGAGTTCGAAACCGCCGGTGGCGAGGTTGGGGTGACCTTCGTTGGGTAGGATAGCTGGCCAGACGGTGTAGGGGCAGTTGTTAACGAAGGTGAAGAAAAGAGCGTGGGAGGATGAGAAGATAGTGAGGAAGAGGAAGGTAGTGATGAGGAGAGAGTTGGTTAAGGAGGAAGAAGATGAAGAAGCCATTGGAGCTGTTACTATGATTACTGTGATGTGAGGAAGCTTAGAATGTGTTGTGTTATTATAGGCAGAAAGATGAAGGAGAAAATGAACGGTGTGTGATGATGATTGATGAACGGCTAGTTTTTTTCCGGTCAGATTTTGATATGACTGGAATGCCCTTTTTCTTACGACGTGTTATTGAGTTTTTGAAATTGGTAAAGGGTAAAATAGATATAATGGGAGGGAGCAGATAAGTACTACTTTTTCTGTGTTTTTTTGTCTTTCCGTTGAATTCTGAAAAGGTGGTACGAAAGGCTGAAACCATGGACAGGACTAGTCGGTAATGAAGGTTCTATTTTTGACTTTCGGTATAAAAGTGACTACTACTGTGAACCACAATGGTGAAAAGTGAAAACTAATTACTCATTCGTCAATAATTATCACTGGGCTATTGTTATAAAATTTAATTTAATTGAAATATTTGTCTCTCTTGTCAAATTTAATGGGATAAAAAATTTGATTTTTTTTAAAATAATAAGGTATTATAAAAAATATAAATAATTACGTTTTTGGAAAAATTATGGAAATAATCATGTTTTAAAAAAAGACCAACAAAAAAGAGGCAGATGAGATACACGTCCACCTAACTTAACATGTAGATTTGGTGGACAGATGCCCGAAAACGTAACCAGCTTAGTGGCGAACAGAGGACTCGGAAGCGTAACCGACTTAGTGATGGACAGAGACTCAGAGGCGTAACTGGTTTAGTGGCGGACAGAGGCCAAGAGGCATAACCGACTTAGTGGCGGACAGAGGCCCGAAGACGTAATCGACTTAGTGGTTCAAAACTCCTTTTGCTCGAAGGCGAGGTTGACCGAGTTAAGGTTTAGAACCCCTTTTTTCGAAGGCGAGGTTGACCCAATTATGGTTCAGAGTTCCTTTGCCTGAAGGCGAGGTTGATTGAGTTATGGTTCAGATCCCCTTTTGTCTGAAGGCGGGGTTGACTGAGTTATGGTTTAGAGTCCTTACTTTCGAAGGCGAGGTTGACCGAGTTGTGGTTCAGAGCCCCTTTGTCTGAAGGCGAGGTTGACCGAGTTGTGGTTTTGAGCCCATTTTCCTGAGGGCGAGGTTGACCGACGTTCAAGGCCCCTAGTAAGGTTGACCGAGTAGGTTCAGAGCCTTTGGCGAGGTTGACGTAAAGTTTGGTTCAGAGCCCTTTGCCCGAAGGCAAGGTTAACTGAGTTGTGGTTCAGAGCCCCTTTGCCCGAGGGCGAGGTTGACCGACGTTCAAAGCCCCTAGAAATGTTAACCAAGTAGGTTCAGAGCCTTTGGGGAGGTTGACGTAAAGTTTGCTTCAGAGCCTCTTTTGTCCAAAGGCAAGGTTAACCAAGTTATGGTTTAGAGCCCCTTTGTTCAAATGCGAGGTTGACTGAGTTGTGGTTCAGAGTCCCTTTTTCCGAAGGCGGGATTGATCGACGTTCAGAGCCCCTAGCAATGTTGACCGAGTAGGTTCAGAGCCTTTGGTGAGGTTAACGTAAATTTTGGGCCAGAGGTTTATATTTACACCCCCCACCGAAGCTGATTACTGATCCTATTTACATATTGTTCGAATCCCACCTAGTTTTGAGACCAACGAGAGTAGGATGTTGTGATCGGTGGATCTGGAACTAACTGTTTAACGCTAGTTCGCAAAATGTCGCGGAAGCAAGAGTCGCCACCGTCTTTTATTTTCTCCAAATGGAAAGGACAAAAGCACAGAAAAATTCCTTAAAGAGATTGCTCTCGGTTCGGGAGGTAGGTTATAGAAAGGGAAGGTGTTAGCACCATTTCTATCCATGGTTATCCATGGGCTCTTAGATACTTGCTCATTTGTGTTTTCAAAATGGTTTGTTTGCTTTTCAACTGTGGGTTTTAAAAAGTTTCTTTGAAAATTCCAGTTCGACTCTTGTATCGGTCCTCAAGAGTGTTTGAAAAATTGCTTTCGAAAGCTTTTTGAAAATGTGTTGGTGTGAAAAGTATTTTTGATTTGTTTTGAAATTAGAGCAAGTATCTAGAGTCGTCTACCTACCCTAAGGAATTCGTCTGTGTAAATATCCTTAAAGTAGTGCCATCCTACCATTGAGAGGTAGGTAGCACCACCGTTGGAGGTGTTCGGGTCAATTTGAGGTTCGGAACATGGTGATCACCGGAGCAATAGGAAGACACCTTAGAAGCTACCCTCATGCCACCCGGATCATGAGGACTTACTAAGACATCCTCTACTCGACGATCACCTTTCGAGGCAAGGCAACAGTGAGGCGTACCCTAGGGGTGGTGTGTGATTTGTGTGTCATGTTCATTTGCATTTATCTTGTCATGTTATTGGTGATCTAGCGTTTGTTTTTATTTTTGTCCATACATTCTTTCATGCCTCGATTTAACAGTTAAAATATTGCGAGAAAGTAAAAGATTCTAAGCTATTACAAAAGGCGCGGGTCCACATCGCCAAAATTTCTTGAACCCGATTTGACAGAAAAAATAAAGAAAGTAAAAATAAAGGAATTAAAAGTGCGAGAAATTAATTACATGGCTTCGGGAGAGATACATAAATATTTAAACGAAATAAAATAAATATGCGAATTAATAAGAATTAAAAACGAGGGCGTTGGACCCTTTTTGCAAAATTAAAAATTACATGGAATTAATTAATAAAGAAAAAGAAAAGGAGATGTTTTTGGTATTTTCTAGTATTTTAGGATTTTTTTGAAAAGAGAATTAATTGAAATTAAATGCTAACCCTAATTCTATTTGTTTTTTAATTTATTAAGAAAAGAAGATTAAAACCTAATATTAACTCTAATTAATTTACATGCAAATTTAATTATGAAAATATATCTAATAATTTAATTATTTATGGAAGAAAAAAAGGATAAAAAATTAATATGAACCCTAGTTCTATGTTTTTTAGATTTTTATTAAAAGGATTAAAATTAAAACCTAATTTAAAACTAAATTTAATTATATGCAATTTAATTATATGCAATTTAATTACAAAAATACTTAATTAAATAAATATTTATTATTTTTTCTTTTCTGAATTTTTTATGTTTTTTTGTATTTTTTATAAAAATATTAAATTAACTAAAAACAACAATTAAAAAAAAGTAAAATAAAATAAAGAAAAATAAAGAAGGTTTGCAAACCTGGGGGGGTTCAGACCCCAAATAGGAGGTATAGCCTTGGTAATTCAGGCCCAACGTCCTTCAGGCCTGGTTGACTTGGATGCCAGCGTGGATTTTTGTTGACCGAGTGCACCATGCTCTTCAGATTGTGGCCGTTGATGGAACGTCTTAGGACGCGTGGACAGCTGGATTTTGTAGGTGCATGATGGACACCCTGTATTGAAATTGCACACGAATATATTCAAGGGAAAAATATAAGGAAAGGAGTGAAGACCTGGGACTCGAACCCAGGTCATGTATGTTACCAACCTACACGTGTGCCACTGAGCCATTCCAAGCGCGTTTAACATATAATAACCAATAAACATTATAAAAGAAAAATTGTCAATGGCTTGAAAACGCGCGAAACATTTGAATGCTCCACTCATGGACAGCCACCTAAGCGTCTTCCTCGTTGGTTTTCTTTTTCCTGAAATACACAAACAATGAGCAACGGTTTTTAAGCGTTGCTATAGGTGCTATATGAAAAAATAGCGAATAGGCCATAAGGCCTCATAAATTGAGCGCGAGGGTAGGTTCCTCTTCGTCCAAGCGTGCTGATTATAACCATGGCATCGTGGTAGGCTAATTTTACATTATCTGAAAACCCCCAATTTCAAGCTTGCAAAACCCTAGAAAACAATAATGGTGAAATCGTATATAGCATGCAAAAACTCAATCAAGATAGATGGTTAGCTTCAGAATCACACAAGGAATATGAATCAAATATTAAAATTCACAGAAAATGCATGAATTGAGATGCACGAATTAGAAATTTTCTTTGTACAGGTCCAGCTCGTTTTACCAATTCTTTGAGTATGGGATTAAGTTTGTGATTGGAATCGTTTCCTGACAACCCTGACAAGCTAATGGAACAAGTTTGGAGGCTTGAATTGACCTGCAAGTGTGTTTTCAGTTATGGAGTTTTCTTGAAAAAAATGCAAGTTTTGTTTAGGGTTTTCTGCGCAGCTCAGTGGTTCCTGGCATTAGGGTTATGTTCCTTGTATATGTAGTAATGATTTAGGTCAAAAATATGATCAAAAGAATCCAAGATTTGATTGTTCAATATTTGATTTTCAAGCATTATTTTTTCAATCTTTTTCATGCAATTTGATACCAAATCATGCCAAAACTTTCCAAAAATGATCATGCACGAATCTTGAATGTCCAATGAGAGTATTTTCTGCACAAAGAGATTTGATTTCATCAGTTTTGTATTTTTCATGTATTTTATTTAATTAAATGATTTATTAATAATAAAAAAATCCAAATAAATAAATAAAAATGGAGAAAAACTTCCCTTTGGGCCTAATGGTCGTGCACATGCCTTGGATGATGAATTATGGAAGAAAAATAGGCCCATTAGCAATTTTAGGTCATTTGAATCAATGTTGACTTTTCAAAATATCCAAAAATTTCCCAACTTCCACAAGGCATAACTTGCTCCATTTTTAAGCTTTGCTCATGTTCTTGGACATTTTGGAAAGGTCTTTGAGTCCTCTAACCAATGCCTTTGGTCCCATGTCATTTTGATTTACCAATATCAAGTTATGGCCTTTGACTTAAAGTCCCTTTTTGTTGACTTTTGAAAATGACCTATAATGTTGAAATTGATAACTTTTTGTGAGAGCATTTCTTGGACTTGGAGTATGAAGATGAGTTGTAGGAAATGTCTTTCTATTCAAAATGAGCTTTGGATGGAATTTTTCTGATAATCCATGTGAAAGTTATGCCCTGGTCAATTTACAGTTGACTTTTTCAACTGTCCAAATAAGGAAACTTTTGCATCTTGATGTTTTTTGAGCCAAGCTTTGAGAATCATGA